GGACACCTGGGGATACCTGGGACACACCTGGGGATACCTGGGACACACCTGGGGATACCTGGGGACACACCTGGGACACACCTGGGACACACCTGGGGACACCTGGGGACAGCTGGGACACACCTGGGCACACCTGGGGACACACCTGGGGATACCTGGGACACCTGGGCACACCTGGGGGATACCTGGGCACAGCTGGGACACACCTGGGGATACCTGGGACACACCTGGGGGATACCTGGGCACACCTGGGGATACCTGGGGACACACCTGGGACACACCTGGGGATACCTGGGGACACCTGGGGACACACCTGGGACACACCTGGGGACACACCTGGATGCGCCTGGGGACACACCTGGGCGCACCTGGGCACACACCTGGGCACCCCTGTCTCACACCTGTGGCACACCTGGGCACACACCTGGGCACCCCTGTCTCACACCTGTGGCACACCTGTCTCACACCTGTCTCACACCTGTGGCACCCCTGTCTCACACCTGTGGCACCCCTGTCTCACACCTGTGGCACCCCTGTCTCACACCTGTCTCACACCTGTGGCACACCTGTCCGTGCCCAGACGTGCCCCTGCAGCTGAACCTGGGCCTGTTCGAGGCCAACGCCGGCTCCGGGTTCCTGCTCAAGCCGGAGCCGCTGCGGCGCCCGGACAAAACCTTCGACCCCTTCGTGGAGGAGAGGCTGGACGGGATCGTGGCCAACACCCTGAGAGTGCAGGTGAGCCCAAAACACACCTGAGACCTGCCCCAGAAACACCTGAGACCTGGCCCAAAAACACCCCAAAACCACCTGAGACCTGCCCCAAAAACACCTGAGACCTGCCCCAAAGACACACCTGAGACCTGCCCCAGAAACACCTGAGACCTGGCCCAAAAACACCCCAAAACCACCTGAGACCTGCCCTAAAAATACCCCAAAGACACACCTGAGACCTGCCCCAAAAACAACCCCAAAACGGCCCCAAAACCACCTGGGGAGCCACAAAAGCCCCAAAGCGCCCCCCAAGCCCCGCACTGGCCCTAAAAGTGGTTTGGGCTTCCTGGGGCTTTTCAGGGTCGCCTGTTCAGATTTTGGGGTGATTTTGGTTCGGGNAAAAATACCCCAAAGACACACCTGAGACCTGCCCCAAAAACAACCCCAAAACGGCCCCAAAACCACCTGGGGAGCCACAAAAGCCCCAAAGCGCCCCCCAAGCCCCGCACTGGCCCTAAAAGTGGTTTGGGCTTCCTGGGGCTTTTCAGGGTCGCCTGTTCAGATTTTGGGGTGATTTTGGTTCGGGGTTTGGGATGATTTTTGGGTGATTTTGGGTTTTTTTTGACCCCCAGGTGCTGTCGGGGCAGTTCCTGAGCGACAGGCGCTGTGGGGTGTTCGTGGAGCTCGAGGTGTTCGGGCTCCCCGTGGACACTCGGCGCCGCTTCCGCACCCGCACGAGCCAAGGGAATCCCTTCAACCCCGTGTGGGACGAGGAGCCGCTGGTGCTCAGCAAGGTACTGGGACCGACTGGGACCGACTGGGATGGACTGGGACGGACTGGGATGGGACTGGGACGGACTGGGAAGGGTTGGGATGGGACTGGGACGGACTGGGAGGGACTGGGACGGACTGGGACGGACTGGGATGGGACTGGGACAAACTGGGACAAACTGGGAAGGGTTGGGATGGGACTGGGAGGGACTGGGACAAACTGGGAGGGACTGGGACGGACTGAGAGGGACTGGGATGGGACTGGGACAAACTGGGAAGGACTGGGAGGGATTGGGATGGACTAGGACGGAATGGGGGTGTCCCCAGGTGTGTCCCTCTCCCCAGGTGTGTCCCCAGGTGTGTCCCGTGTGTCCCCAGGTGTGTCCCCAGTTGTGTTCCAGGTGTCCCCAGGTGTCCCCAGATGTGTCCCCAGGTGCCCCCAGATGTCCCCAGCTGTGTCCCTCTCCCCAGGGGTGTCCCCAGGTGTGTCCCCAGGTGTGCCCAGGTGTCCCCAGGTGTGTCCCCAGGGGTGTCCCCAGGTGTGTCCCCAGGTGTGCCCAGGTGTCCCCAGGTGCCCCCAGGTGCCCCCAGGTGTCCCCAGGTGTGCCCAGGTGTGCTCCTCTCCCCAGGTGGTGCTCCCAGCTCTCGCCTCTCTGCGTGTGGCCGCCTACGAGGAGGGCGGGCGGCTCCTGGGCCAGCGAGTGCTGCCCGTGGCAACCCTGCGCTCAGGTGAGGACAGGTGGGACAGGTGGGGACAGGTGGGGACAGGTGGGTCAGGGGTTTCCTGGGGGTCTCTGACCCTGCCCTTCCCCCCCAGGTTATCATTACCTGCCGCTGCGAAACGAGAGCAACCAACCCCTGCTGCTGCCAGCGCTGCTGCTGCTCACCTGGGTGGCCGATCACGTGCCCCTGGGCCACCAGGGTACACCTGGGACACACCTGGGGACACA